CACATTGTTTGATGGCCGTTACTGCCATCCAGCTCTAGAACTTTTTCATCTTCTCCATGTGACACTCTGTACCCATTAAGCACTAACCCTGCATTTTCTTGTCCCTCTCTAGTAAAAATCACTTTTTGAAACATTTCCCCAGTCACAGTGTAGCCTGTTCTTTCTTGTTGTTTCTTTACCCCTTTCCTTTTGTTGGGGGGTTTTTTTTGGGCCTGTGAGCCGCGTCTCAGGGAGGGATGTGTACATTCGCTAGAGGTTTATGTGGCCATGTTGGATTCACACGATATGAGATCGCGCTTGAAGGGACAAGAACATAGACTAACAACTATCTAAAGCCCAGATTTAAAAAAAAATAGTCCAAAGTTCAGGTGGGTATGGGAAAGCAGTTAGCACATAATAGTTGATTTTAGAAAATTGACAGGACAGATAATGGAGCTCCATTTAGGTAGGGCAACTGGAGCCCAGTATGATCTGGAACCTTGGCAGCATCCTGGTTCATAGAGGAATAAAGATGCAGTGACTGAGAAATCAAGGAAATAACTTGAATTTTCAACTGAGCTATCAGAGATGGGTATATACAATCAGGACAGCATAATTACCTATGAGAAAGGCTATGTAGTTAAGGTTGAATTGAACTGAATAAACATCCAGGTATTATCTCCATCTCTTCTTCCCCATAACTGGCTCCTGTGTATGCACACGTACACAGACACAGACACACACACACACACATATTTTTTGATCAGGGATAACACCTATACCCCTTTCCAAGGGCAATGCCAAGTCCATAGTTGGAGACAAGTCCAAGGTTTTATGATAGAGTACCAGAGCTTCCTTTTTCTAACACTGAAATGTGAAATTCATGTTGATGCTCTGTACTCTGATTAGTTTTTTGCAAAAATGCAAGATCCTAAAGAATGTAAGTATGCTGTTACTGAATAGAATTATGTTCATTGTAAAATTCTGCTTCTTAAACCTGAAATTCTTTCTCAGTATTTTGGAATAATCGCTTTTATGTCTGATCACATTTCTACTGAGTTTTGTAGTCTTACAGGCCATTTTGATGAAACTATGTGTCATGTTTTCCCTGCACACTGATACATCAGGGATAACCTGCTCCCTATTTAATGTGGCATTGCTTTTTATCTTTGGTTAATATAATTTATTGTTACTTTTTCTATTCCCAGGTTGCTTAGCACTGTGTATACAAATACTAATAAGTTGGCTTATTAAGTCTTCCCATTCTAGATATTCTGTCCATGCTAGATATCCAGAATTACCTCTGTCCTCATTTGGATTATTCCTTCTTTTAAATTAGGAATGTATACTAAGTTCTCATTCTTTTCATAATAGGTTGTTTTTTTTCCCTTCAGTAGATTCTCATTTTATGCATTAGCATGTCAACCATTAATTTTGAGTCTTTGTTGTGTAATTTCTTTAGCAGAGGTATATTTCTACTTTCTAATATCATCAGAGGATATATGGGAGTAGCTTGTACTGGCAAAAACAATAGTTAGAAAAAATATTTTTTTATGAATATATGTAATAATCCATGAGTGGGAAACAACAAAATTCAGAAGGAGTTCACAGGGGTAAGGACTAGAAAGATTCTTTGTAGTGGGGAGACTTTGAGGATACAATTTAGGGATGTTTTTATGAGAAGTCATGATGGAGCCAAGAAAGATTGTGTGAGGATAAACTTCAGTTGTCTTGTAGCTGAGCGTTTAACTTTTTCATGATTCCTTTTATTTTTTTCCCTCATAACCTATGGTTTATTCAGTCAGAAGCCATCTCAATTTGTAATTAATTTAATTAAAACAGTTAACATTAAGACATAACCTGATACATAGGCTTAACTGTCTTGAAAGTCGCTCAGTTGTGTCTGACTCTTTGCGACCCCATGGACTATATATAGTCCATGGAATTCTCCAGGCCAGAATACTGGAGTGGGTAGTCTTTCTCTTCTCCAAAGGATCTTCCCAACCCAGGGGTCGAACCCAGGTCTCCCACATTGCAGGCAGATTCTTTAGCAGCTGAGCTACAAAGGAAGCCCAAGAATATTGGAGTGGGTAGCCTATCCCTTCTCCAGCGGATCTTCCTGACCCAGGAATCGAACCAGGGTCTTCTGCATTGCAGGTGGATTCTTTACCAACTGAGCTATGAGGGAGGAGGGTTATTTTTCTCCCTAGCACAGCTTATTTAATTTAAAAAAACTGTTGAATATGTGATTTAGAAGGGCTTGGTGTTTTATTTGGTTTGAACTCTTGTTTTTCTGCTAAGGCTTTGGTCATGAAGGGGTGTTTACATCAAGAGAACCTTCAGGAAGTGGTTCTTTCAGTTTGCAATGGCAGTACTTTTGAGATGAGCGAAATAGCTCATTTCTGTGATTGCAGAGGTCCTCAGGATCAAGCATTTGTTTGATCAGTTTATATTTTCATATAGGAAAAAGAGATGGGGAAGACAAGTGTTTTTAGTTAAGTGGGTAGAAATCATTATTATTTTGAAGTCTATGTGTTAAATTCCTTATAAAGTGTATTCCCAACGCCTTAATAATCCTTTTGTACATGGTTTTAAAAAAAGTCTAGCTATGACTCTATTTAAAGGCTTGATAAATAGTGAAATCTTTCTCCGTATCTATATAGGGCTTGAGTTGCAGAGAGAAGTCCTTCAAGAAAATTTGTTTTATGTTCTTGTCTTCTAACCACATAAAGAGAAATGCATTTACTTGCTATACTTTTGATGGTTGCTGTTGTTGAATCATTCATTCTATAAGGTTTTATTTAGTGCTTCAGCTACTCTCTTATATATAATTCTTAGCCTTGAATTACCAGATAGACAGCTTTTTGCTAGTAAAATGCTCTTATTAGTTATGGCAGTCATATATTAATATTTGAATAGAAAAATAACCTGTTTCTCCCCTATTTATTTTCTTTGTATTTAGATACATAGCCATTTATCTTTGTGCCTAGAAATATTAAAACTGGGTTTGACAGATCAGGTGTGACTGAAGCTATTTATGCAATTATAGTTTTCAGTACCAAAGTGTTTACTTTGATATTTTGCCAAGGGGATATTGCCAATGAAAAAATAACTAATTTATTCCAGGTTTTCATTTTTTTCTATGTATTCTGTATCTTCTGCCTCTGAGCTGCCTAAGTCTTCTTTGAAACCATATCGTCTTATCACAGTCTCCAGTGTTAGTAACTTTCAGAAATCTGCTTTCTTTTCTCAGCCTTTCATCTGTTCTCAGTTCACACCCCTGAGACTCACTGATCCATTCCATTCACTCTGTTTGGCTGAATAACTGAGCCTCCCCCTAAGGGAACCGCCATGTGAGAATAGTGATGAGTGAACTCTTGATTTTCCCTTTGGAACTATATAGTTTTTCCCATAGCCCTAAATCCTGCTCATGGTTTTCAAGAGACCAAGCATTCCTCCTCCCCCAGCGCACTTCCACTGCACGTCTGCCATCGCCTGGGGCCGTGAAGCCTGGAGTCCCCTTCCCTCGCGCGCCTGGTGCAGACTGCTGCCCTGCTGCAGGGGCCCTGCCCCAGAGCGGATCTGGGCCTGTGGTGTGGGACCAGGGTTCTTGTCTGGGAGCTGGTGACGACTGAGGCCTTTTTGTGACCTCGGACAGTAACTCATATTTTCTGTACTTGACACAGAAAAAACCTGTGCTTGATATGTGTTTCCTCATTGATAGAATGAGATGGTTAAGCTTCATATTCAAGAGCCTATAAATGTGGATGCTCTAAATTTTTCATACTCTTTATTGGGCTCTTAGAATCTCAGTAGTTAGAGAAACTGGAAAGAAAAGCAACCACAGTTGGGCAGATGATGTCTAGTTTATAGCTGTCTGCCCCCACTTTCCACCCCACCTGAAGGCTGTGGTCAGCTTCAGTGATCATATACTTTACGTTCACTTTATTTCTGTAGTTGAGATGATTCTTATTGGCTTCTCTCAGTGTCATCAAGAATGGTTATTCAATCAGGTGCACTTCCTTTTATCCTCTGAAGGCTGATGTTATGATAATCTAATGAACAAAAAAATGGTAATTTAAACATATAACATAAACTTTAATGGCAGTTGTGCTAAATGAAAACTAGAAAAAAATTAAAATGCTTAGTATTTTAAAGACATATTGTTGTAAGATACAGTAACCAGAAAGCATTAACAAAAATAGAATAAAAAAATTATTAGTAGCATTTATTGTTTAAAATATTCAATTATGGAAGTAGAAAACTGTTACATTTTGTGCCTCTACTAGCTAATTACACATTTAAAACTGCATATTCTAGAATTTTTTGCAGTCCTTAAATTATACCTTAAATAAATGAACGTTAAAATTTATGTGGAATCTTACTCCACATAAAGGAAAAGGTCACATTCTTAATCAATATGATTAGAACATAATGTAAAATGAACTAGAATAAAGTGTATAACCATGTACCATGGAACTATGATTTTTAATGGAAAATGTAGTATGAAAGAAAAGATTTTGAAAGGAGATTCTTTATATAATTTTGAAGCTATTTTTGAAACTTTGAAAATAGAAAAAGAATAAAGAGAAAATGTAATTAAAAAAGACTTTTTCAGTTCATGGCTCTTGGCAACAAAGAAAGTTTTGTCATCTTTGCCTTAATTCTGAAATAAAACCCTTATGAAATGTGGCATAGGTTGTGTTAGTGATCAGAACCATTCGTGAACAGGATTAATCTTCTCAGAAAAATGCAGCCTGACTCGACATCTCTAGGATGTGAGATTAAACACAGATTTCTAATGGCAGAAAAGCTCCAAGCAGAGATGGCACTAATAATCTGGTGTCCTACTCCTGCTTGAGGAAAGCCAGTCTTTTAGTGGAAGGGTGTGGGTTCTGGCTTAGAAGGTGCTCCCGGCAGTGGGCGGGTGTCGGTAAAGGTGCTCTGCTCTGGCCTCCTCAGCTGTGGTCAGGCACTCTCTTTCTTGCCCCTCATTTCTCTGTCACTGCAGGGGTTAGGGGATGGTTTCGGAAAGGTAATGATTATTTCCCTTTGTTCTCACAAGTCCTTAGAGGGACATTGTTCCTAGGGCAGGGATGTAAGCCACAGTGGGCTTCTTGTCTGGTTCTCGGGGGCCAGGTTTCAGAGTCTGGCACTGGGATCCCAAGCCCGAGTTCCCTGCAGAACCCTGCACTCTCCTGGCTAGTATTCGACAGAGGTACCATCAGCATGGGTAGCTGGATTTTGTGAAAAAATTTCATTCTTACTAATAACCTCCTTGATGCTTATCTGTCTTTGTGTGTTAGTCGCTCAGTCGTGCCTGACTCTTTGTGATCCCATATTTCTCTTTAATGCATCCTTATTGTTGGCAACATGTATATCCTGCTTTATCAGAGACCTTTGCATAAACTTTTTCACTGGTTTTACTCTCATTTGAGGCAGTTCATGATATGGCTGTTGTTTTGTTTTTTTTTCCACAGCAGTACTTCTCATTATTTCTCAGCATGAAAGATTTTAACCAAATCAGTCTGTTTGGATAATAGACTTGATTATCTGGTTTCATAACTATGTAAGTGTGTTTCTNCACCAGGCCCAAGCACTTATCTCATGCATCCAACCTGGGCTGGTGATCTGTTTCACCCTAGATAATATACATGTTTTGATGCTATTCTCTCGAAACATCCCACCCTAGCCTTCTCCCACAGAGTCCAAAATTCTGTTCTGTACATAGAAGTAGTATTACTCTTATGTAAGTTATATAAGCAAGTGCACCAGGAAGTATTCAGTGTAATGCCTAGCAGATATTCAGTCAATATTATTTAAAATTTAAGGTTATTTGACTTTTTTCTTTATGTAGACCAGAAGATATTTCAGAATGTGATAGGTTACTGCTGTTGAGAAATAAATTGATTTTTAAAAATGTAGAGACAAACCTTTTAGTTGAGGATCAAGGTAGGAAGATAAAATGTATACATTTTCTAAAAAGTAAAGGATTACCACGGGTTTGGGATAAGGAAAGGAACTCCACTAATAAAATTTTTACTATCCTGTATCTGAAAATTTTAACCAATACAGAAAGACAAGGAAAATACTTTTGTGCTAGGAATAAGGAGATGAATGTGCCGTTATTTGCTGATACCTGGATAACCTATGACAACCAGTAAAATAATTACTAGGACTGATAACATTTTGTCTCTTGACATGTGGAAGTCCAAGAGCTCCTCAAACCACACATGTTTAAAACTGAACAGGGTCAAGAGTGTTCTTCATCTGTTGCTCAGTTAAGCAGACAGCACCATCATCTGCCTGCTTGCTTAAGCCTGAGGGTCCCCTTCTTTCCCCAGTAGTCTGCAGGTACACAGACAGGTCCGTGCGCATATGCCTGCAACAGAGCTTTCCTGGGGTCCTGCTGTGTTCCAGGCTTGGGGCTAAGAATACCCTGGTGAACAGAGAACTGCCTCTAACAACTTGCTTTCTCATGCGGGGAGAGACGGTGTCAAATTCATGGTATGTGAGGAGTACGGGCTTTAGAGGAGAAACAGGGCAGAGCTCTGTGATGGGGAACACCAGGTGGGAGCGGCGTGCTGGTCTGTGTAAGGAAGCAAACCTGTGCTGCTGGGGTGTAACAGGAGTCTTCCACTCTGTGTGCTGAAGCGACTGCAGCTGGTCAGACTTGGAAGTGGGGAGACTAGTTAGAAGGCAGTTGTGATACAGGTGAGAAAGGATAGTGGCCGTGAGCAGTCACAGGGAGTGTAGTAGCCAGGGATCCAGTAAGCGGTGCTTGTTTTAGTGAATATTTTGAGTTGGAATGGACAGGATTCACTCTTGGACTAGATGTAGTTAGGGGTTAGTGAAAAGAAGGGTGACTTTAAGCTTTGTGACTTGAGCAGTCGCAATAAGAGCATTCCCATTTCTCACGGATTGCTACCACTCCCCTCTGTCTTGCCCGTCTACCATTACTGTGTGCCACTCTTTCAATTCACCTTCAGTGGGCTGAGTTTTTTCTAAAATGCAGTTCTTTTGATGTCTCTCTCATACTTAAGACTTCAGTGGCTCCACGTTGCTCTAAGAATAAAAGTCAGAATTCTTTAGTCAGTCAGTTCAGTCGCTCAGTCATGTCCGACTCTTTGCGACCCCATGGACTGCAGCACGCCAGGCCTCCCTGTCCATCGCCAACTCCCGGAGTTTACCCAAACCCATGTCCATTGAGTCAGTGATGCCATCCAGCCATCTCATCCTCCCTTGTCCCCTTCTCCTCCTGCCCTCAATCTTTCCCAGCATCGGTGTTTTCAAATGAGTCAGCTCTTTGCATCAGGTGGCCGGCCAAAGTATTAGAGTTTCAGCTTCAACNCACCCAGGACTGATCTCCTTTAGGATGGACTGGTTGGATCTCCTTGCAGTCCAAGGGACTCTCAAGAGTCTTCTCCAACACCACAGTTCAAAAGCATCAATTTTTTGGCACTCAGTTTTCTTCACAGTCCAACTCTAACATCCATACATGACTACTGGAAAAACAGTAGCCTTGACTAGACAGACCTTTGCTGACAAAGTAATGCTTAAAAGGTCTCACATGTTCTGGTGCCATTTTTTCCACCCAATATTCTTTGTTCTTATTATTTTACGCGTTTCTGTGCCCTTGCAGAACCTGAAACACCGTCCTTCCGGAATCTGTGGCCTTCCTCCTCCCACCCCAAACATTTCTCACTTGCCCTACTCCTTTTCTCTTTCTAGCTTTTGCTTGGATATCATTCATTCCATAGAGAGTATCCCTTACAAATATGGGTTAATCTTCTTTAGTCTCCCGTGGTTCTTACCCAAACACTGTACATGTATCTATGTGTGTACTTTAATTGGATTGGTTCTTAAATTTTTTGAGGCCAAGACATGTCCATTTTGTCTAGCATATTCTTTTTTAGTTGGTGCTTAATAGATACTTATTTGAATGAAAGAATAAATAAGTAAAGTGAATGACTATAAAACACACGTGTGAAATCCAACAAAATTTCTATATTCTACCAGTAACAAGTAACAAAGTATAGTGGGGAAACATTGAGTTAATCAATATGCCCAGAGACCTAGGAGTGTAATACTTAGGGCACTAACATTAACAGTAAATATGCAGGATGCCTGTGCAGAATGCTGTGTTAAGTTGAAAAATTATAGACAAATGTCACGTTCATGATTAGGAAGTTTGGAAATTGTCAACATATCAAATTTCCCTGAATCTGTTCACGAATGCCTTACAGTTCAAATACAATTCAAATGGATTTTATTTTTAGAACTTTGGAATTGCTCTTAGGTTCATGTGGAAAATAAATGAAAAAAGTGAAGAATGTTTTAAAAAAAAGAAAAATAATTTGAACAGCCAATTAGTAAGATATATCTTAAATTCTACAGTGCTGAAAGCAGAATGATAGTAGCCCAAGAGTAGTACATGGAACTGTGGAGCAGAATTAGACGTCCAGGAAAGCCAATATAGAATAAAAGTATAACATAAAATCATTTGAGAAAGATGGTTGGTTATTCATAAAATTATAGAGATAATTAGTTAATAAACAATTTCAAAAATATAAAATTTGATCTCTATTTCTCACTATGTACCCAAACATGTAATTATAATGCTTTTCTGATATACAAAAACTTTAATATAATATAACATATATATTATATATATATTTGTATTTTATATATATTGTATTTATATATATTATATATTTATATATTATATATATATAATATAATGTGCCATCTTATATATGAAGATTGTTTTTGAAGTTTTTTCAACATTAGTGGTTTATTTATATATATATCTAGCTAAACGATTTGCTCCCTTGTTTTCGAGATCCTAATTTTGTCTAGATGAATGACTTTTGTCAGAAATGCTGTCCATGTGTACAAAGGAGAGGAATGATGACAGGATCACTTCACTGCTTACAGCTGTTAACCTTGACTGTCATGTACTGTGCTGGAATCACAATCCATATATTGTTCATCAGGATGTATTTATTCTCTTATTTTTTAGCAAAGACAGAGAAGTTAAATGCATTTGCTGATTTTTAAAAGCTCAGATAAAGTAGGCTGAATATTAAAATTTGAGTATTTTTCAAATATTTGGAAAACAATTATAAACATTCTACTGTCCAGTTTTATATGAACTGTCTTTTTAAATAAATAAGGTGTATCAACCCTGAAACAGCTGGGTGTTTGTTTAGCACTCTTGGAGCTAACTCCTTAAGCTATCCTAAGTGTCAGCACCTTTATTTTTATGACTGTGTACTGTATATTGTTGAGACGGACTCACTGTGCTTCTGCACCTGATGGCTTTGTTTCCATAGTGAACAAGAACTTTGTTTTTGTGTTTTCTCTTAGACTTTTAAATATTTACTCCTAGTTTTTTTTTTAGGGAAAGAGCTCCCAGACCCTATATGAAATAGTTTGGGTCTTGGGATATCTACTATTCTATTATTTTTGTAACTGATTTATGTTATTTATGTCTTTTTTAAGATTATTTTATGACAAAGTTTATATCTTCTCTTTTGACAGTTGAGTGCCTAACATGGATCTATCCTTGGTTTTACAGAGAAAAGAGAAGAGGAAGATTTTGAAGAGAAGAAAGCTATTAAGAAACGAATTAAAGAACTTAAATTTCTAGATTCTAAAACTGCCCAGAACCTTTGTAAGTATCAGATGTCAATATAATTAAATTAGCAAAACACACCACTGAACACACTGGTTCCTTTAAATTATGACATTTTCTTTTTGACTCTATTCTCATTTTATGTTAATTTTATTGTTGTCACTTTATAATAGATTCAAAGATAACTTTTCTTTCCTTTAACTCGTAATTCCTTCAGGAATTTGAAGTTAAATTCTTCAAAAGATTAATGCATATTAGAAAATAAAGCTAGGAAAGGGATTTAAAATAAAACTATATTTCCCATTATTGAAAATAGACCTACCCTTTAAAGTCTTTCTTTTAAGTATAACAATAAAGAATTATGAAATTTAGGTGATGACATCATATTTTTAAAAAAAAATTGGTAGTGGATTATTTCTTCTGTACCTCTGAATCTCTATTATTTGTGATACTTTTCAGACACAAAGGAGTTTGGAATATTAATGGGAATAAGGATCGTGATTAAAATGAGTTCTATTATCCCATTTGAGCAGTTCAAAGTCTTTCCTCAAAAGTACTGCCTGGAAATATTTTAGATTTAATTACTGTTACAGGAGCTAAATACTTAGCATTGAATTGTCTTCCTGGCTGAATTACTGTGGGAGAAGAGGGCAAATGGGTTTGCTTCTGACTCATTTCAGCTGCATCTTAAATGCATCAAAGCCAGTTCTGTTTGAAACTGAGATAATATGATCTGGATATATTACTTTCTGATGCTACAAGGTGGATAAAATGTGGAGAGTATAGAGGCATGAAGAGCTAATGTAGTCTGCCGTTCAATTATTACAAGCCTCAAGTGAGCTTTTTGCAAACACTTGACCAAAACAGTCCTTGTCGAGAGGATGAGCCTCCTTGCTATTGAGGCAGGAGGGAGGGAGTTAGAGCAGTGTCTGGAGAAGGCGGGGTTGACACTCCTTTGTGAAAGCTCTGGAACCTTTTTCTTACCCTGCTTACTTTTGGGTACTCCTGACAGGATGTAAGCTTGACAAGATCCCTATGGATAGTGTGCAGAAATTAGTGTTCTGACCAAAACAGCGTTTCTGTTTCTGGGCCCCTGTTGATTATGCATAGCTGCCTCTTTGCTGTGGAGCCCTGTGGCTTGTTTGGGCCCAGGAAGGTGCCAGCAGGCATGCAGTGTGGAGGCGTTACCTGCTGTGGGAGCAGCTCCAGGGCTCTCTGCCTGTACTCAGAGCTTCGTCCTCCCAACATGAGATCCGTAAGGCAGGGAGCCTATCTTCCTGGTGTCTGCTGAGCATGTGGTCTGAAGTAGAAAGGTTTTGGGGCCGGGAGGTTAGACCAGTGAAGTTTTGGTATTTGTCATTTTAGGAAACGTCCTTCTTAAAGGGAGGGAAAAGCATTAGTAACTTAAATAATGTGAAAAAGATATTTACTCTGATTTGAAGAGTGATTTTTGTCTTGAAAAATGTTATGGCTTCCATTACAAATTGTCTTGTTCGGGGTCCTAAAGAAATATTATCTTGAATATGATTCTTTTTAGGTGGGTTAGCCATGGTTCAGTTCAGTTCAGTTCACTCACTCAGTTGTGTCCGACTCTTTGCGACCCCATGAATTGTAGCACGCCAGGCCTCCCTGTCTATCACAAACTCCCGGAGTTTACTCAAACTCATGCCCATTGAGTTGGTGATACCATCCAGCCATCTCATCCTCTGTTGTCCCCTTTTCCTCCTGCCCCCAATCCCTCCCAGCATCAGGGTCTTTTCCAATGAGTCACCTCTGCATGAGGTGGCCAAAGTATTGAAGTTTCAGCTTCAGCATCAGTCCTTCTAATGAACACCCAGGACTTATCTCCTTTAGGATGGACTGGTTGGATCTCCTTGCAGTGCAAGGGACTCTCAAGAGTCTTCTCCAATACCACAGTTCAAAAGCATCAATTCTTCAGCGCTCAGCTTTCTTCAGATGGTAAGATAGCCTAAATAGCCATCTCAAAGTTGAATGATTGGTCTGCAGAGCAGTGTTCTTTAGTATTAGTTATGTATTAGAGGGAAAATCAGTAGACCATTCAGGTATGACTTAAATCCCTTATGACTATACAGTGGAAGTGAGAAATAGATTTAAGGAACTACATCTGATAGACAGAGTGCCTGATGAACTATGGGCGGAGGTTCGTGACATTGTACAGGAGACAGGGAGAAAGACCATCCCCAAGAAAAAAATATAAGAAAGCAAAATGGTGTCTGAGGAGGCCTTACAAATAGCTGTGAAAAGAAGAGAAGCAAAAAGCAAAGGAGAAAAGGAAAGATATTCCCATCTGAATGCAGAGTTCCAAAGAATAGCAAGGAGAGATAAGAAAGCCTTCCTCAGTGATCAATGCAAAGAAACAGAGGAAAACAA